AAGGACTCTTTCTAACTAAACTACAAACTAATTACCCAACATGATGGTGGATGAAGAGAAACCTTTTACAAGAAGTCTTTGGCTTGCATTTCCAGAAGAAAAAAAAAATGAAGAAAAGTTCAGATAAAGAAAAAACCCTATACATGCCAGAAAAGAGTTTAGTTCCTATGTGTTATAAAACGAAGTGTTCTCCAGACTATCCAGCCTTACCTTACCTGCCTTCTGCCTCCATTCTTGTGGAGCCCCTTCCCCCAAAGATGAATTTTTCCTCGAATATTTATTTTGAGGAAGGGTCCTAGACCAGCCATCCCTCATTATCCAAACAGCCAACACGCCCCAATATCATGGGTGCCTCCTTCCCCACCACAGCCAATTTTCAGTTCTTCTTTTTATGTGTTGGTTTCCCCCATAAGAATGTAAGCTCCTTGAGGGCAAGAACTATCTTTCTTTAGTGTCATACACAGTATAAGTACTTAATAACCACTTGTTGACTAAAAAGAATAATACGCACAATGATTAAAGTAATGTAAGTAAAAACAACTTTAAAAAATAGCTGACCTCAAACTAAATATAATGATCAATCTTAGTGCTGGAGGCCAGATGATGAAATTAACTTCCCTACTCTAGATAGAAAGGCAGAGGGCAAAGAATGCTGTATATGCTACCAGACGGGCTCTGTGTTGGTCAATTTTACTAAACTGTTTTTCTTTATTTCAATGAAGAGGTCAATGGGGAGTAAAGAGTTTTCAGGAAATGACTATGATACAAAATCAAAAAGCATTAATAAAATAAATAAATAGAAACAGGATGAGTATTCCATGATCTCTAAGGTCCCTTTCAGCTCTAAATCAATAATCCTATGAACCTTGGGGCTGTGGGCTCAAATTAGAACAAGTCTAATACTCCAAGCATTGATAACGGAACTGGATCCATTGGAAAGCGGGGCTGACTGAAGGAGTGATTATTCCAATCCAAACTAGCAATCTAGAACCATTAGAAACAATCTGAAAGTGAATCAATTCAAAAATCAATGAAAGAGCAGGCACTTGGCAAGTGCTTACTATGTACCAACACTGTGCTGGGTACTAGGGGTGGAAAGAAAGAAAAGAAAGAGGAAGGATGGGATTAAGAAAGGAAGGAAGGAGGAAAGGCGGGAAAGAGAAAGAAAGAAAGAAAGAAATTATCCCTGCCCTCAGGCAATTTATATTCTAACGGGTTCCAACACTGACCACTATAAGTACATAAAGAATATACACAAAATAAACACAAGGTCATCAGGATAGGGCACAAGCAACTGAAGAATCAGGAAAGACTTCTTGTCGACAGTGACACTTGAGCACGGTTTAGAAAGAAAGGGGAATTCTAAGAGGTGGAGGTGAGAAGAGACTGCATCCAGCAAAGGGAGCTAGACAGTGCAAAGGCTTAGAGACAGCAGATGGAACGTTGTTGTATATCAATGAGGTCCACTGAGAAGGTCAGTATAGGAGGCAGCTAGGTGGTGCAGTGGATAGAGCACTTGCCCTGAAGTTAGGAGGACCTGAGTTCAAATCTGGCCTCAGACCAAACCCTTGACACTTACTAGCTGTGTGACCCTGGGCAAGTCACTTAACCCTAACTGCCTTAAAAAAAAAAAAGGTCAGGTCAGTATAAGAAGTGCTAGAAGGAGATAATGTATGATGACACTAAAAAGCATAGGCTGAGGCTTGGTTGGAGGGTTCTGAAAGCCAGAAGAATTTATATTTGATCCCAGAAGAAAGTTGTTGGGAACTAAGTAAAGGAGTCATGTGGCTGGACATGCCCTTTAAGGAAAAAAAAATGTATCTTGAATCTGTTGGCAGTTCTACAGATGGGGTTGGGTTATTGCAGATAGCCAACAACTCCCCTCAGATCCAGCCCTTCTAGAAATAAGAAAGCACTCTGACCTTTACCTTAGTCTGGCATTCAGTAGAATTCACTATCTGTTTTCCCAGTATAATCACCAATCCAGTCACAGCAGACTGATAATTTAGTAAATACAGTCTCCAAGGGACTGTATCCCAATACTCCAAAACCCATATCTCCATAAGACATAATGTGAAGGTTTTCCACATAAGATGCATATCTCAGTCTTGTAAAATAATACCCAAAATTTACCAACCCACAAAAAATTATCAGCCCAATCTCTCCCAAGAAGCACATAAGTAATTTAACTAATGAAAAAGACACTCTTTTGAATGTGCTTAACTTAGGCAAGTGGTTATTTGAAATGTATACAAGCAGGTTTTTACCTCTATTTTTTTTTAAAGACCCTCCATAGATACAAAGTTAAGTGACAATTCATAACCATCTTAGATAAAGTATCCAGTTTCTAGGCTTTGATAACAATATATTTAACCTTTGAGGTGTTTTCCATTCCCACCCATTTCTAGTTATATTAATAGTTTCTCTAGTACTTGTTATCTTGGACTCGGGCACTTTGCAGCCTTAGTAAAGATTGCCAAGAAGAGTAAGTCATAAGTAGCAAGAGAACACCTACAAAAAAAAAAACCTACTAGCATGTAGAATGAAAAAGCCTGCCATGACCTTGTGGGACAAGGAGGAAACACATCGAAGAAATTTCAAAGTAGAGCAATTCTTTAAGGTGCCTTCCTTCTAATACACCAAGATGAGAGGCTACAGATGCTGCTACATTTGGCTAGACCTCTAAAGCAAAAAGTACAAAGGGGAGAAATTATCTACATAATTAAGGTCAAATCTACTGCATAACCAATGGATAAACAGTGCTTTTTAAAACTGATTTATCCAGATAATTATCAGCATTCTCCACTTTATCAGAAAAGGATCAGTCTGTAAAGCAGGTTGTTCAATTTCTGGCTGCCCTTGACCTGCATTTTGAAAATAATCTTCTATTTACCTTGAGAGTGATTCAGACCATGGAGAGACATAATGTTACTTTGCCGGAAACTGACTTACAAATGGGTTCCTGTGCCAATAAAGGCCCCTTGTCTAGATGTTAACAAAGAGAAGGCCTCCTCAATAGAAGGCTGTTTTGACCTCAAAGCCTTGAGTCGCCCTAACTTAGTAGCTGAGCTTTTTCTAGTATAAATTGGTGCTACTAGCCTCTTAGTTGGGCTCACTGTTGGCCCTGTTGATTATGCAAGAAATTCCTATTTTGGGACTAGCATATGTGAGGAAAACAGAATCCCACACCTTTCATTCCCCTACAGTCATACTTCCAGAGCATACTAAATGTTAAAAGCTATCCGTCTACAATGAGAAGGACTGCACTTCAGAGTTGTATAGTCAGAGGTTATAAAGAAATAAGGATGCAATCACAGGGCAGTTATCAGGCAAAGAGAATCTGCTATGGAAAGGGTGGAAATCAGTGAGTAAGAATGCTATTCCTAGTGCATTATTATAAAATTAAGTATAATGTAAGTATGGGACAATGTGACTAGTAGTCACTTTACAAAAAACAATATACTGCACTGAGAAAACTTTCTGTGATACTGTGATTGAATCAATTATGTGTCGAAAAGGAAACTGGAAAGGTTTCTCTTTCCACCAAGGACTCAGTGGATGATTCTCTCCACTAGCTAGATATGTCTCCTTCCCATCCCAAATAAATCTACAAAACAAGAATCCTCCTGGATACCAAATATCTCCCAAGGAGTTCCAAAGAGAAGTGAAATTAAAGCATATTTGTCAATCTGAGTTCCCATCTCAAATTTCACATTCTCAGTAATATAGGGGGCACTGGTATAGTGTTACTAATTCTCTCATATATAGACTAATGGATGTAAATACAGGTGAATGTATATTCCTCTAATAAATCAATGACAGCTATATACATGGTAAAAGATAGCACCATGGAACTTAAGCTAGTGGATATTATTATTTAGGGAACTGTGATATAAAGCAGTATTATCATAATACTTGTTGAATCACGTTTAGGTCGACATTCACAATAACCACATTCACTTTGCCCGGATTGTGGATGGTGGTGGGAGCAAGAGAAATGAGAAAAACATGAGTAAGCTATCAGCTCACCAAATTGACTGGTTAAGTAACATTTGGAAAGGTGGAATTAGTTATCCTTAGCATTATAAAGATACAATGCATAATCAGGAGTGAGGAAAGGTGTTATTTATTACCAAGCACCAAACTGCCAATGCATCCAAACTCCACATAACTAGAACTAGATACAGACCACAGTATTTCTACAGTAGGCTTTATATAATATTATGAACTCTGGGGCTCATAAAATGAGAAGCAGAGAGGTCATTTTATATGTGACAGAGGACACAAGTGACAGTAAGATCTCCATGATGGACAGCACCCAGGTCACACACAGGTTGTGCTATGGAGGAAACAAAGCATTCATAACAATGAGTTCAGTGATGAAAAGAGAGGGCTCTGCACAAGATAAAGTTTGGTGACAATGTCTAAGGGGGACTTATGGATTCCAGCCATGTTCCAGGAGCTGCCAATCTGGTAGGACACTGTGGCTGACCCGACACAAGTCAGCAAAACAAGAGAGGTTTCAACAGAGCTGCTGGCAGGTAAGGCAGTCCGGAGGGACTTACTCTGAAATGATCTCAACTATTCTATAGGGGGCAGCACAGACAGGAAGCTTTTCTAGAATGGGTATCAGACAAGTGACATTGACTAGACACCTATGTGACACTCCTTGGAACAGTAACCAAGCAGAAGTGAAATTGAATCATCGAAAGGGTGGCGCCGTGGGCAGAAACACTGGTGCCCCTGACGACCGGGGGGGAGGGGGAGTGCGGGGGCATGTCGAGGGGCGTCAGTGACGAGACACACCTGGGCAGGGAATGACACTGGTCCCAAGGGTGGTGGATGTGGCGCTGGGGAGGTCTTTGGCTGGCAAGAGATGGCTGCTCGAAGGTGAGACAGCCAGACCAGCCCCAAGGGGACCCTCGTCCCTGCCCCGCTGGACTGTGGCGCGAGCCCCGGAGGGGGAGGCCGGCGGGCGGCTCGCAGGTGCCCGGGCTTACCTGGTGCAGGGCTGTCAGCCCATCGACGTTGACCGTGTTGATGTCTGCTCCCCGGGCGAGCAGCCGCTTCACTTCATCCGTGTCCCCGCTCGAGCAGGCGGCCAGGAAGACGGCCCCGTCCTCAAAGCGGACCCGAGGCCCCCCGCGGCGGGACGACTGCAGCTGCCGCCCGGAGCCCCGCCGCTCCGCCGACTCCTGCTCGGTCAGCGAGCCCCGCCAGCGCCGCAGCTGCTCGGCCCGCCGCACCCGCGCCGACTCGGCCCGCTTCCCACCCAGGTGCTCCAGCTCCGCCATGGCCCCGGCCCCAGCTGCCGCCGCTGCTGCCAGTCCGGTCGCCGCCGCCCTCCCAGCGATTCAACCGGGAGCAGAAGGCGGAGACCCCCGCGCAGCCATCTTTACTCCTCCCGCCGCCAGCACCGCCCGCTCTACCCCCCCCAGCTTCAATACGCAGGCGCCGCCCGGACCGCGGGTCATCATGGAATATGTAGTATCCCGCTGCTGAGCTACGGAGCCCTTGCGGCTCGACTGGGAACTACAAATCCCTGCATGCATCACAAAAGAGGCGGTAACCATTTGGCTCCCTTCCTAACCGTGGTACCCAACAGGGTCACCTTTGCCCTGAAGTATTCCAGATACTCCAACCATCTCTGGGACTGATGGGGGGGAGGCGGGAAGGGGGGCGGGAAGGTGTCAGCCTTTTCCTCGGGGTGTTTTGGGAGTTGTAGTTTGTTATGAGTGTTATTTTACTACCGATCCTATCACTTTTCTATTCTCTCGTCTTTTCTTGCGAAAGATAACAATCATTTGCCCCTTTATCCGAAATGGGAAACTAAGGCATGGGACACGTGAAAGAATAGAGATGTCCTGACTAATGTTTTAACATCATTCAATAGACATCATAGTAAAAGGGCGGGGGGGGGGGCGCGTTTAGGAATACGACTTGCAATTGCATTGACATAGGGCTCTTCTGGATGAGAAGGCTCCCTCTTACCAATGAAGGTCAGCCCCGTCTCTGCAATTCACGGTACTGTAGAGTTTCCTGTGTCCCTGAGAGATTAGCTAACTTTTAGCCAGTATGTGTCAAAGACCGAATCCGAACCCAAGTCTTCCCGGCTTCCCTAAGACAGCGCAGCTTTCTATCGACTATACCACACTGCCTTCATGCTATCTATCTGTCTACCTAATCTATCCATCCATTCAGTCACTCATTCATCATAACACATAAACACTGAAAACGAGACAGCAGAGGACACATAACATCCTTTAGTATATTTTGGAAGTCTATGGAGGGGTATGTGGCAAAATAAACATTCTGAATCAACAGGAAGGCTATTTTCAGGTGCATATTGTGTTATTTACAAAGTATATCATGCAAACTTGAAAGTCTATGTGTATTTCATTTATTTAAAATGCAGTACCCCCAAGGTCCTAGTCCTTTTAATAAGTATAGTTAAAATGTTTTGCATAGAGGTAGAGAGTATCTAATGATTAGAGCACCGGACAGGTAGTAAAGAAGACTTAATCCTTTCTGCACTTTACTGTTCACTTGATATGTGATCTCTCACAATCCACCTTATGACTCAGTTATCCCTAATATAAAGTAATAACCTAATTCAGTCTCTTTGTCTCTGTTTCTGTCTTTCTCTCTATCTCTCTCACAATTAAGTGAATTATCAAATAGAGATCTCACTTGAAAAATAATAATATGAATGCAAAATGATAATTTTATCTAATAATATGACTATCTACAAAGTACATTTCATGAGTATTTTTATTACTTCACAAACTCTAATTAACCTTTACAGCATCTTGGTCAAGTATCAATAAAAATATGTATAATGATCAGTGTGAGGAGCATATATTATTATGATGCATTTTACATAGCCATGTATCTACTTGCTGTATGTATTGCTTTGTTTGTCAAGCCAGTTAATTATTATGATTAAAATTCTTTATAACACTTACCTTATAACTTTGTCAACATAGCACCTCCTATCATTCCACCTCAGCATCTTACCAGTGATTAAATTGTCACAGAAACATAAAATCTCAAAACTGGAAGGGAACTCAGATGCCCTCTAGTTCAACCCATTCTTTTTTTTTTCCAGTGACTTGCCCAGGGTCACAGCTAGTAAGCATCAAGTGTTTGGTCTGAGGTCAGGTCCTCCTGACTTCAGGGATGGCGCTCTATCCACTGCACCACCTAGCTGGCCCCTGGTCCAACCCATTCTTGATCAGGAATCCCATCCACAGCATACCCTAAAAGTCATTATCTTTGCTTAAACACTTCTATTAAGGGAGACCCACTACCTCCAGACACAGTACATTTCACTTTTTTATATCTCTGATTCATAGGAATGTTCTCTTCCAGAAGAACCTAAACAGAACTTCCAGCTTTAAAGAAGAATAATTTTTAAAAAGAAGAAAAGAATATCGTAGAAGCATTTTTAAATGAACAGAAAGAAGTTCAAAAGGAGATACAGAGGATAGCTTTGAAACCATGCTGAATTTATCGTCTACTTTTTAAAAATATGAGATGCACATAATAGAGATTTGTGATTTCATTTACAATCTTTTTCTGTTCTCTATTTATGGAAATGTTCATGTTTCTTAAGTTCAAAATAATAAAAATAATAAAAAATACTTTAAAGACGTATGTCTAATATATCCGAAGATCAAAGGAGATCAAAGACAGAAACAAGATTTAAAAATAAACACAGATAGTCACAGCTGTACTTTTGTGATATCAAATAAAGGGAAATAAAGTCGGTGTCCATCAACTGGGAAACAGCTGAACAAAATGTGGCATATGAAAATAATGTATAATAAGACATTTTGGATATAAGGAATTTAGAGAAATATAAGAAGATCTTTATGAACTGATGCAAAATGAAATAAGAAAAAACAGAAAAGCAACATATATAATGACTATAGCAATGTAAATGAAATGATCTTTAAAAGGAAGTCTACTTGAGTAAATCACACTAGCTGTGTAATTATGGGCAAGTCACTCAATCTCTCTGTCCCTCTGTTCTCTCATTTGTAAAAAATGGGGGCACTAAATTCAATGGCCTCTAAGATGCCTTGAAGCTCTAAACAGGGGTAATCCTCTATCCTCTCTCTATTGAGAGACATCATGCTGTCTCTCAACGTCCATGTTATATTTTAATGTATTGCAGATTCACAAGCCCATGATTACCTACTTGCAAATGTACAGAAATATTCGATTTGTTTCTTTCTAATTGTTTCTTTCCTACAGATCATTCCCAAATGAAAGCTACAAAGTAAATTGTACAAAATCTTGTCCAATACTATCATTTTGACATAATTTTACAAGTCGCCAAGGCAATTTTTCCAGCCCTTAAGGCCTTTTTGATATTGGCATGCTCTCCTCATGGTTGATTTTGTATATCAGTATTTTCTCCATCTTGTGCACATTGTACCTTGTAACTATACTTTACAAGTAGGTATTATTAAATGGCTATATGAAATATAATGGAATTAGAAAAACTTGTAAAGAAATATTAATTTTGTGGAATTTAGATTATATAAGAGCCGTTCTCCCAATAGCTAACTGGTCAAAGGATATGAATGGGCAGTTTCAAAGGAAGAAAACCAAGCTATCAACAGTTATATGGCTATACCAACCAAATTACCAAGAGGATACTCTACAAAAATTTATAATGCAAAGTTCATTTGGAAAAAACAAAGAATCTAGAATGTCAAGGCAAATTTTGAAAAGAAGTAAGGATAAAGGGGTAATAGCACTTCCAGACCTTAAACTATATTATGAAGTAGTAGTCATTAAAATTGGTTAAAGACTAGAGAGAATAATCAATAGAACAGCCTAGATAAAAGAGATTGAGAAACAATAGAATTCAATAACCCAGTATTTGATAAAGTGGAAAACAAATTTTCTAGGAAAAAATTCCCTATCTGATATGAACAAACAGTTCAAAAAATGCAAACTATTCACAACCACATAAAAAAAGATCCAAATCACTAATAATTAAGAAAATGCAAATTAAAACAACCCTGAGGTTTCATCTCATACAAATTGGCAAAAATGACCAAAAATGGCACTAGTCAATATTGGAGGAGTTGTGGAAAGATAGATACACTAATGCATTGTTGGTGGAGCTGTGAAATGGTATAATCATTTTGGAAAGCAGTTTGGAATTATCTAAATAAAGTGACTAAATATCTACCCTTTGAACCAGGGACTCCATTACTGAGTTTATGCCTCAAGGAAGTCATCAAAAAGAAAAAAGTCCCTATATACTCCAAAATATTTATAGCAGCACTTTTTGTGATAGCTAAGAATTGGAAACAATATAGATGCCCATTGTTTGGGGAATAGCTAAACAAATTGTGGTGCATGAATGTAATGAAATATTACTGTGCTGTAAGAAGTGATTTTATGATGAATATAGAGAAGCATGGAAAGATCTATATGAACTCACGCAGAGTGAAGTAAGCAGAGCCAGGAAAACAGTATACACAGCAACTAAAGTAATGTAAATGGAAAGAACAATGCTCCAAAAAATCAAAAGTAAATGTAACAAAATTGCAAAGATTAAGTGAGACTCAAAGAGATATGAGAAGATAGCCCCAACCCATCCCTTCATGGAAGTGGGAGGTCCACAGGTATTGTGCATGTTTTTAGACTTTTTCAACAGATCAATCAATTGTGCTGACTTTTTTTGTCCTATCTGAAAAAAAATATATTGTCACATGGAATGGCTCCCTGGGAGCAGGAGGGGATGGATGCGTGGGATTCTACGGTGACATGAGAAACCAAAAATATCAATAAAAACTTTTTTGGGGGAAAAAAAGCTATCTGAAAAATGCTTCAAATCACTAATAATTAGAGAAATGCAAATTAAAGCAGTTCTGGGGGTTCTACCTCATACCCCTCAGATTGGCAAAGATGGCAAAAAAAAGAAAAAGAAAAGCTAGCCAGGCTGTGGGAAGAGAGGCAGATTTGTGCACTACTGGTAGAACTGTGAATTTGTCGAACTGTTCTGAAAAGCAACTTGATACTATACTCCAAAAGTAACTAAGTTGTGCATACCTTTTGGCCCAGGTATATTCTACTACTAGACCTATATCCCCAAAGAGTTTAAAGAGAGATCCTCTCATCTAGGCTTGGTTATAAACTCTTCTCCTATCCCTAGTTGCAATAGGTATATGCTTCCTTATTCCTCTAATTTGTTTTACGATAAGTCCTTTTATAACTAAGCCATCCATTTGAAATTTATTGTGGTATATTGTGTAAGATGTTGATATAAACCTAGTTTCTGCTAGATTGCCTTCTAGTTTTTCCAGAAGATTTTGTCAAATAGTGAGTTCTTGACCCAGTAGTTGGAGTCTCTAGGTTTATTT